ATAACTCGTATTTAATTGGCAATTGGGTCAAATATGGCCACTAGATTTCGTACAGTCAAAAATGGCCTAAGTGTACATGATAATCATCGCTCTAATGAGGTAATGGCTAGTTCCAAATTCTCCGGCAGGAGCAGAATCGTAGAGATGGCGACAGAGGCCACGAGCGCCATCGCACTGCTTCCCAGATGCACAACACTCAAGTACAATGGTGCCCAATTCACGCTGAAATAATTAGTATACCGAGTACAGAAAATCAATCAAAGCGCGCATAGACCGTGATTGCCGATGAGAGAGAGCGCACTAACCAAAGAGGCGCAGAAGTCCGCAATAACAGACAGTCTGTGCGGCTTAGACGCACTTTTGACAGACCAATAATGAAGAAAATTTTGAAAAAGGGGAATACGAATAGAACTTCAGAAAAAGGGGAATTGGGGCAGAGATAATCAAATTAAACGGTAAGCCGGGTTAGAATCTCTACCGCCACTGAGCGTATCGGGCACTGAAAAGTAAAAATCCATATAAAATTCCAAACTCACATTGTGCTCAACAAAAATATCATTCGCTTTGTGCAGTACCGTATCAATGTCCAATGGGCGATCTCTTGGGAAATTTGGTTGTTCGCTTTGTACAAGCTTATCGATCTTTCCAAGCAACCACAAAGCTTCAACCACCTAAAAATGATTTTAGAAATCTGAGTGGTTTCTATAGGCAAAGGTAAACTCACCATTTCTCTGTATTCCGGCTCAGCAATTCGATTCAGTGCTTGCTCCACTTCTAGAGCAAACTTCATCTCACGCCTGGTCATTTCTTGTGTTAGTCCCCAATGCAATATGGTGTCATTGATCTTAATACCATGTGGCAAACGATTGACGGTGTCCCAAAGGCTCTAAAGAATACATAAAAACTTAGCCCGATGGGCGACATTATGGCTTCGCAAAAAATCGGCAAAAGTCTTGCTAATACCATTCGTTTCTGACAGTTTTTCTTTATCGAGAAATTAAGAACTCACAGCATAAAAATTGTTCGGAACTCTGTTGAGCGCGCCATCGATTCGTCGATGTCGAAGCCAGATTCCGAATTGGAAATCATCCTCTGCTGATATTTCCTCTTCGTCCTCTGAGGGTGTTGGTGGGCCTTCTGGTACTTCTGGCACTTGTCTAGTACTGCCTTGGAAGCTACGCATCGATTTGCGTAGGGACTAAAAATAAGACGGTTTTGTAAATGATAATAATAAAATCAATCAAGAAAACAAAAGTTCAAAATCAGTTTACCTTTCTTTCCTCGATATGTCGCCTGAAGCTTCCTATGCCAGTGCGAGTTTCTTTCGCTGCTTCATTATCGTCTACAGTTCTGCAAATTATACCATTTTGTTTTCCCAACTATATCTTCGCGACACTTACTCTTCCAGAAGGCGTCCACTCAGCAACGAAAACAGCATGGATTTCAGTTCAAAAGGACTGATTGTCAAAAGATTCTCGGCGGCATCGGCTG